CCATTTTTACTATTTTACCATTTTTACTATTTTACCATTTTTTACTATTACAAGGGGACTATTACAAGATGCACATCCATTGTAGGATTAGTTATTTTGCTACCTTTGTCACCTCCAAGTGACAGAAGGAACTGTACTTTTCCCTTTTTGTTTTCCGTGAGATGAATATTAGTTTTTAAAAATTGTCCAAAATACATATTCTATATTTCTCATGTTGTCTCCATTAGTAACTAATGCTATTAATACTCTTGGGCTCTGGTTAGTCTATAGAATAGGAGGGGGGACGACCTGTGATTTCCTGGGTGAGGAAATGGCCTTTACTAATGCAGGTTGGTCCATAATGCTAGAGAATTGCTTACAGCACTGGGACGTTAAATGACTTGCCCCTGATCACACAGCCCGTATGTATCAGAGGCAGGATTTGAGGGCAGTTTTGTTTGGCAGGATCCCACAGTATAGTATAGTAATTGATGGTGAACTTGAAGAAGGACACGGATATTTTCCCAACTCTTTCAGACTATTTCTGATAATTCTCTCCTAGCCCCACCTTACCTTCTCATTTCCAACTCCTAATATTATGCAATTTTTCTTTGCCTTGACTACAATTTTCTCTTCTCTTACTAATTATTGACCTTCCCCCACCCCAACTCTTGCTATGGTGAGGTTGATCACATGTACCACACAGGACAAAGACAGCATGAAAAATGTGTAATAGGCAGTGTGCTTCCTGCTCCTTTCCCTACCATCTTTTTACATTCCAGAACTTTCTATTGGTTTTCCATGACCATTTTTGGATTTGAAGTGTCAGAAAACTTAAGGTTAGATTGTCCCTCTGTTACTTAGAAATTATTTCACTTTGGATAAGTCACTTAAACGTCCTGAATCTTTGTTTTCTCATCTGTTAAAATGAGGGGGCTGGGCTAGATGGTCCCTGAAAACCATTCTACTTCTAACTCCATGGTCCTATTCCCTGTCCTCTCTACACATCCCTCTTGTAGAATAAGATTCCTGTCATACCCTGGAGCAAGGATAAGGACTGGATCTGTGATTTCATTGGTATAGAGCCTTGTCTGCAACTTACAGCCTTTGAGAATTGCCTAGAGCTCTGAGAAATTAAGTGACCACAATCATACAGCCAGTATATATCAGAAGTGAGCTTGAACCTAGGTCTTTCTGGCTCTTAGGCCAATACTCTATTTAATATACCATGTTGCCTCTCATACAGAGCAGGAAGTGACTAAATTAAGATTTAGTACTCCAGCTCTGGGAGATTGCCAATCCCTCATCTAAAAGGCTTTATTGACTTGCATACCATTCTTGTATTCTGGCTTGCTTCATTGACATTTCATGGACAAAGTTCTTAAATGTCTGGTGTCTTAGTGTCTTCATCTGCAAAATGGGATGGTTAATTCTGAATTGATTCCCTGGGGTGTGGCAAGGTTAAATGAAGGTCAACCTTCTGGTGAAGCCTCTGGAAAACACTAGGAAAGAAATGCCAATATATTCAGTGAAATGTAAATTTTTGAGTGAAGGACCAAAACCTGGTAAACAGCTTATTATATTGGGGGCTGGGGACAGAAATGAATTCTCCTAGAAATAGAAGCAGAATTGGTCCTTGGGGAAAATGATTCCCCTTATACCTTTCTCTCTTCACATAAGGCATGGTGCAGTGGATAGAATGAAGGACTTTGAGTCAGGAAGACCTAAGTTCATATAGCCTTTCTCACACACTTATTAGCTGTAAGACCCCAGGCAAGTCACCTCTTTGTGCTTCAGTTTCCTCATCTGTAAAACAGTGAACAATAATAGCACCTTTTTTTTCAACTTGAATAGTATTTTCTTTATTTATAAGTTAGAATCAATAGGCATAAGAAAAGGGAGAGGATTTAGCTAAAAAAGTCTTTTGGGGAGACAGAGAAGGTATGAACCCCAAGGGCTCCAACAGAGTAGGCTATAAGGATAGGTAGAAAAAAAAGTCAATGTGAAAAAAAAGCTTCCCTTCTTTCCTCCCAAGTCTAGGGAGACCCTCCAGTCCCACCTCCCCCAACCAAACACCACTTCAAATAAATTAAAACAACTTCAGAAAACAGGGCTTTTGGAGGGGAATGGGCAGCTGGTAGTTGTGACCTCAGGCTTTAGCCCAACCTTATACCTACCAGAGACCCCTCCCCCCTCTTTGGTCTATTTTAAGTGGGGAGTTCTAAGCCCAAGAGAAATCCCCTCCTCTTGTCCCTTGAGTCCCTCAGAAGACATATATAAAATTTAACATATTATATAGTTAACATACATAAAACACCATGCAAATCTTAAAGCACTATATACATCCCAGCTGTGATTATTATTAATAAAAATTTATAAGGTTTATAAAGTTCTAATCTAGAACAATCCATTAAGAAATACTATAGGTAATATTATCCCCATTTTACAGATGAAGAACCTGAGGCTCAACAAGGTAAAGTGACTTCCTTAGAGCCATACACCTAATGAGTGTTAGAAGAACACTAACACAGCTATCCTCTGACTCGAGTTCCAGAACTTTTTCTACTGTACCACATTGCTTTCTAGAATAAAAAGGTTCCCTTGAGGACACATAGCATGGAGTGACTGAATTAAAACTTGGTATTGCCAATGTCTAGTCTAAAAGAGATCATTTTAACTTGAGCACTATTATAAGCTTATATGGTAAGCTCCTTTATGGTCATATTGTGGACAAATGTCTTAATTGCTTGAAACCTCTATTTTTCTTTTTGCAAAATGAGCAGATAATTCTAACTTACCTGACTCTCTGGGGTCAGGTAAGGAGGAATTCAGCCATGTTCATTAAGCATTTACTACATACAAGATACAAAGACAAAAAATGAAAACTATTCCTGTCCCCTACAAGCTTACTGAGAGGTATACCAAAAGTAAATACAGAGTAAATACAAAGAATTACTAAGTAATTTTGAGGAGATGGCTTTTATAACTAGGAAGGGCAGTGTGGTAAGAGAAGATCTTGTATGGAAGGTAGCACCTGAGTGTGCTTTGAAGGGAGCTAGGGATGAGGAAGGAGTGTATTTCAGATGTGGGAGATCACCTATGTAAAAGTACAAAGGTAGGAGATGTAGTGTCTGATACAAGGAATAGATAGCAGGCCAGTTTCAAAGGAGTAGAGAGTTTGTTAAGGGGAATAAAATGAAATAAGACTGTGGAGGGCTTTAAATGACTCGTTTAAGATAACTGTATTCTAGTAGCAATAAGGAGCCATTGAAGATTTTTGAGTAGAGAAGTGATGTGGTTAAATCTGTGTTTTAGAAAAATCAATTTGGCAGTTGTATGAAAAATGAATTGGAAAGAGGAGAGAGTAGAAGCAAGCAGTCCAAAGGAAGGTGACTATGTTGTCAAGAAAGCAATTACACCAGGAAGGAGACATTAATATGTTAAGTGAAGAGAAATGCCAATTTTTGAGTGAGGGAAGGAGGTTTTACTCTTAAAAAGTATTTTTATGCTTAAGTAGGACTTGAATATGGTGGTGGGGGAATGGTGAATCCTCATAAAAGTATAGACTATTTTTTTCTCTGGGAGGAAGGTTCTCAGGTATCATTAAAAGGATCTTAGCAGAATATAAAGCAGTTTTTAAGATTGCCAATTAGATATTTTATGTTATACTATCCAAACAACTCCTAGGACACATCTGCTGGTAGGATGATCGGGTTTGGTGGACACCTTCTTGCGGTGGCCGTCCTCTCCAAGAATGCTAAAGTAGTTGATGAGGTGGTGCTAGATTTATGTTTTATTTTTATTATGAATTAACATTCAACAAACAAAAATGATTCAATATACAAAGAGTAGAAAAAGGTTCTATATGAAGCTGTGAACTTCAGTTACATAATTTTTTGAGGTGATTTTAAAAATTTTATATGATAGTTAACAAAACAGCCCATCTTGTTTGAGGCCCTTCTGAACTTTGACAAAGTTTTTCCCCTGATTCTCTTTGGTTGTTATGCAGGCAGTGCAATAGAAATAGCAAAGGACTTGGAATCAAATTCTACCTTTGACACTTACCAACTATGTGATCGTGGGCATGTCACTCACCTCTCTAAGCCTCAGTTTCCTTGTCTGTAAAAAAGGTTAATAATAGCACCTTCCTTACAGAATTGTAAGGGCCAAATATTACATATATATGTACATATTTGTGTGAAAGGTGATTGGTAAAACTTGGGAAAAATTTTTTTCTAATTAATGTGTTCTCCCTTTTCAAATTTTCTTATATTTATTTATTTGTATAACTAGTTGTATCCCTCAAGGAGGACCTAAGGTCTTTGAGGGCAGGAACTATTTCTTCCTTGTCTTTGTATGGCCAAATCTCAGGATACCTAGACAAAGCAGATGTGTAATGTATGGTAAACTGAACCAAACCCAACTAGTAACCTAAAGTAATGGGAGTCTACCAGTTGATTTTTTTTTTGTTTTCTTTTTTTACTGCATGACAGGGCAACAACAGTTAACCTTCATTTAACTATGTTATACACTGCAGATAACCTAACAAGTCCAACTGCCCCTGAGTGTCTAACGGAATGTTTCTAAGTGGAAAAGTTTCATGGCAAATACTAGAACATCAGGAAATCACATTTTTACTTTCAGAAGTCCCTCAGTCATCTGTCTTGCTGCCAGCGTTCCTCAAAGAAAGAGAGTTTTGTGGTGGTACTTAACCGTGCCAACAGTTTTGGGTGGGTTTTTCCTTTTTTGGCTGTTCTCCTTGACCAGCATGTACTTTGATTCCCAACGACCTACAGTATCTCAGGGCACACACACACACACACACACACACACCCACCCCACAGCAGTAAGATGAGTAATCATAACATTGGGGTTATGTGTGTTAGGCAACCTTTCACACATTGCCCAATGCAACATATTGCACAATATATTTGCCAGGGAATGAGCAACACTACGTTTTACATTCGACTCCAGCCTTCCTCTCTGTGCCAGTAGCCAAGAGTGTAAACACTGCTCCTTACTTTTAGAAACATCAGCAGTTGACATTGTGTTCCAGGCTTCCTTGTGTTGTGTAACCTGGCCAAGTGTGGGTGTGGGACAGACGATCTCTGTGAAAGAAGTGAAGAACAGATGAGGGTCCAAATCTGTACTTTAATCTCTATTGTAGAAAAATTGAAAACATAGAAACCAATTAATTAGGGCTGCCTATTCTTTTTAAGGCTTTTTTTTTTCAGAGAAAGTGCTTAAGAACTAGGGTAGACAAAATAATCAGCACTTCAATAAACTTCATGAAAAAAAGTTTAATAAACTCTATTCCATCAATAACAAGTAAATCCCTGTCCTGGGAAAATTTTCCTACCATTCCTAAAGTGAAGTTCCATGTGAAGTCAGTCAGGGAAAAAAAGATTTTCCCATAAATGAACATTCTATTACAATTTCATAAATGTTATAATAAAGCATGTGCTTGGCCAAAAGAAACTATCCCATAAAGAAAGGTTCTGTGTTTTTTTCCTGGAGGAACAGAGATCCTAGTTTTTGTTATAAGGAAAAAATATATTTTTACCAGCTTTTTAAAAAGCCTTTGGGATATTTAACATATATAATCCAATTTGTTATTTTAAAATTCTCCCTTCATTAAGTACACAGGATTACAGCAATATTAAATGTGAAAACTATAAGTAACTATGGAACCTAGCCTATTAAATTAAAGGAAAGGGAGACTGTAAAGAAAACAAAACATTCACTTGGAATCAGGTTACTCTAGAGAACAGAGAAAAGAACTGAAAAAATGTTATATCTTCCTGTGGTTGTCAGGTGCTTAGGGTCCAATGAGAATTTGTTTTTCAAATATAGGAAAACTAGCAAGGGCAGCTCATGCTTTGCTATAGAACAGAGCAAAAGGAAAACAGGGTGAGATATGCAATAGTTACTGAAGTTATAATCTGCTCATTTTTTAAGTTAAAAAAAAGAGCAAATTATGATCCCTAGAATGAAGCTTCTGGCATTCAGGACTGAATTAAACCTAGCTGGTATCAGGCCACCAACTTCCTCTAGCCCTTCCAATGAAAAGTCCAGGATGATTATTGTCAGAACCACTTCCCACTTGCATAACCTGAATGTGGTTAAGTCACTCACTTTGAGGGAGGAGCAAAGGGCCAAAGTTCTCCCTCTGATTGATTAATGAATCATCCATCAATTCACATGCCCTAAACTGAATTGTAACATTAGTAGTAACAGGTCTCTAAGCTACAACCTCAAGTCCTGAAGCAAGTAGACAATGATGACAATTTATATCATTGGCCTCTAGGTCATTTTCCTAGGTAGGGTTATAGAGGCCATGTCCCCCCCACTTTGTTACATATCATTATTCAAAAGAATTGGGGGCAGGAGAAAGAGGGATGCATGTTGAAAAATGGGGTGGCTGTTTCTTTAAAACCAATACTAGACTTGTTCATGTCACCTCTAAAGTGACTGATTATTTTCTTGCTCAGAAAACACAAGTTAAAGGTTTCACAACTAGGAAAATAAGAGATTGGAGACAGAATGTTAGGTCTACTCTGAATATACTTCAGGTATTCTTTCTGGTCTCCATATTGGGTCAGATTCCTAAAAGTACCTAATGATGAACTATTTGAATGAATGAATGAAAAAACACATATTAAGAACTCACTAGGGGCAGCTAGGGGGCACAGTGGATAGAGCACTGGCTTTGGAGTCGGGAGGACCTGAGTTCAAATCTGGCCTCAGACCAAACACTAGACACTTACTAGCTGTGTGATCCTGGGCAAGTCACTTAACCCCAATTGCCTAAAAATTAAAAAAAAAAAGGACTCACTATATGATGAAAAGATAATATTATTTATGTTTCATCTAACAGACCAATGAAGATTCAGGGTGGGGAATCTGTGGAACTTTTTGAAAATAGGAAGGCAGTGTCATTTTACTGCTTGTAGTGAATGTCACTACTCGAGTTTCTATAGTAATCTGGAGTATATTTCCTTTTTTTCCTAAGGGATACATTCAATTCAATTCAAGAAACTTTTGGTAAGGGACTTTTAAGTGGGAGGCCGTGGTAGGATGGTTGAGTGGGAAATTTTTGTGTTTGTTATAGGGAATCTAATTGATGTGACCATTATGGTTGTATTTGGCTTTCTTCTGGAAACTGGCTATTGGCTGCAGCTACAGCAGAAGAAATAATTTGTGACAAGCATATCCACTGAAACATTGCTAATATTTGAGTCTTTCAGTCATAGATTGTTTTGGGGAAGCTACACTTTCTGGTAGCAAATGCTATCATCTTGTTTATTTAATGGAAGAGACAACTGAAGCCTAGACAGTAACTGAAAAATCTTAATTTAGGCCATAAAAATGAGTGAGTGGGCAGAAAGCCATGAATAGAATCTTGATTTTTTTTTTTTTGACTGGAGGCCCACAAGCCTCTCTCTTAGATCAATTGCCCGGGATAACAGCATGAGGAAAATAAAACAAAACAAAACACTAAGGCAGTAAGGAGAAAAAAAAACACTAAGGCAGTAGCAGATGCAAATTCCATAGTTTTGGTTTTGTGTTAAACTGGGGTTTTAAAGCAAAGGCTAAAATGTACAAATCAGGAATTTGAATATGAGCAGAAAGAAATGTGAAAGAAATGTTCACCTGTCTCTAGTTGGAGGGATTCTGGCTGTGACTGATAGACACTGGTGGTAAAAATAGCTAACATATAAAAGCTATTTTTTTTAAGGTTAAGATTTGCAAAGCACCTTACATATGTTATCCCATTTATCTTCACAACAACCTTGTGAAGTAGATGCTATTTTTAATCTCCATTTTACAAAAGAGGAAATTGAGGCTGAGAAAGGTTAAATGACTTGCTGAGATTGCACAACTTGTGAGTGTCTGAGGCAGGATTTGAACTCACGTCTTCCTGACCCAAAGTATAGCGTGCTGTTTGTTATTCCATGTAACCCCTACTGATCCTCCTACTCTAAGACAAATGGTCTCTTCTGGAGCAATACAGATCTCTAACAGTTTAACTCTTGGAAGAGGGAATATAAGTTTGTCTTTCACTCACAATCTGTTCTTGGTTTGATGAAAAAGCCTATGCTTTTCTAACCTAGCTAGTCAAATATTTCTGTTTATGTTATTCTTCAGTTATCTATGAAAACAATAATAATAGATAGCATTTATAAAGAACCCACTCTGGGCCAGGAACTGTACTAAATGCTTTACAAATATCTCCTTTGATTCTCACAACAACACTAGGAGGTAGATGCTATTAAGAGATCATAAAGATAAAAGATAAAAGAGTTACTGTCTAAATTATTTTTTTTTATCATAAAACTAGCACACTGAAGAGAATGAAAAAAAATGATCCTCAAGCGGTATAAATTGTTGGGGGAAATTTAGGTATTGACTCTAGTCTCCTAGTTCTGTAGCATTTCAGTAAAAAAAAAAGTTTGAAGAGAAATTCTAGAAGGGGTCTTGAGCAGCGGATAGGTTTAGATTGTAATGTCTAGGTGAGCATTAAGCCTCTGATGCCAGAGGCCCAGGAAAAAGAATTAGGTATTGCTTTCTCTTGCTCTTTCCAAAGACAACGAAGTTACCTTTACACAGACTATCTAACAATGTGATACCTAGAGAAAATAGGTATTGAATATCACTTGAATATTATTGAAAGTACACAGCAAATGACAGCCATCTATCTCTTTCTATAAACTGTGGGGAATAGGTGATTGTTGTTTAGCTAAGAAATATTTCTATCAGACAGTCTAGAACATGTTTCTTCAAAGATCCTTGAAACTCTATAAGGCATACTTATGATTCTTTTACCCTCTCATTCCAGGAACACTTTCTAAATGGAGAGAGATGTGGTATTATATATACTTCACTATCTGATGATGCCCAATACTCAACTCTTTTTCATATTCTACACAATCTTTCAGACTGTGCATTATTGAAACTGTAAAAATGGCTTGGTAGTTGTGTTTTTGTATGGCTTTCACATGTCTACCTAGGTCATTGGTATCTTAGGTATGCTCATGGATGGCATCAATTTAAATTCTATATATTGAGAACCATGTTTTATCAAGAACAGGAAGTGATTAATAAAAGGGCGGAGTAAAGACAAGAAGGCATAGCAATCTGGACCTATTTATTAGATTTTTAAAAAATAGTGCCTTTCCATCCTTCACAAAAGTCCTATTTTAATGCCTCATCTGTAGCACTTGGTGACCCTGGGTTCTATCCATGTCAGCAGAACGTGAACTCTGGCAGGCCTTAATTAGCCAGGAGTTGATAAGTACAGTCTTGTACTCCCTAAAGAGGGTGAAAGACCATTTGTTGGTTATATAAGAACTAGCCTAGGTAAGCCTGAAGAAGCCCATCACCAAAAAGTTGGCCAATCAGCAATAACTTTTTTTTCCCAGTCATAGCAACTTCGGAAGAATTTCTATGAGATTTGAAGTTGTTGCAATCTGCTTGGGTGAAGACAGTACCCTTGATAACCAAAATATCATATCCTTAAAATTCAGAAGTATCTTCAATTCAATTCACAAAACATTTATAAAGTACCTATTGTGTGCAAAGTACTGTTAGGAACTGAGGCAAAAAAAGAGAAAATTAGAAGGTAGTCCTTGCTCCCAAGGAGCTTACATTATACTGAGGAAATGTAACCTCTATACAGAAAACTAAACCCCAAATATATTCAAAGTAGATAAAATGAGACATTATACATATATGTTAGTGAAACATAATTGTCTCTTCATTGAGAAAATGTAAGCTTGGAATTTCCATGTCATGGCAGTAACTGAGACTTATCTGAACTTGTATTTTACCCTACAAGGGTGCTTTGCACACAGTCAGTACTCAAATGTTTGCCATTGAATTGAAAGTAATTCTCGAGTGGTAGGGAGACTTGGGAAGCACCTTCTCTTCCTTTCTTTCTTTTCCCTTCACTTGCTTTCTCTTCCCTTTGGTTCTTTCCCTTCCCCTATAGAAAGTTGTGGGGAGTATATTATACTTTAGAGAAGGTATGCTCTGATAGGTGCTTTTGTGATTGGATCCTTTTTTGAGATCACTTTATTCTATAACTTCTTAGAGT